CAGAAGGGCGATGGGATAACAGAGAGGGCGGGCGGGATCTGCAGTGCTGGGTGGAAGAGGTGCTTCAAGAAGGAGGGAGTGGCCTGGTGTGGTGGCACATGCCTGTAATCCCAGGATTCTGGAGGCTGAGGCAGGAGGATTGTGAGTTCAAAGCCAGCCTCAGCAATTTAGCAAGGCTGCTAAGCAATTCAGTAAGATCCTGTCTCTAAATAAAATACAAAATAGGACTGGGGATGTGGCTCAGTGGTCGAGGACCCTGAGTTCAATCCCCAGTGATCCACTCCATTCAGTTCTGCTGATGGGTCATGCAAGGCGAGCCTGATTATGGACCAATGGACTTAGCAACAAGGAGAACACTGGTGGGTCCTGGACTGGAGCATGGGTCGTGCTGAGGAGAGAAGAAAGCTTAAGAACGGGAGAAGGGGAACTGGAATAGCTCTATTGAGACATTGGACAGGAGCTGTTTGAGATGCGAAGTCAAGAGGAGTTTCCTAAAAATGGGAAGCTTTCTGCCTGCTTGCACGCTAAGTCAGAGTTATTCAGAGTGGGCAGATTGCTGATGCAGGGAAGAGGGGTTGAATGCAGGAGTGTAATCCTAGGGGAGGACCTAGTGATCAGAAGGAAGATTTGTCTTAAGAGCAGGGACAATTCTTCCATGTCTGAGGATGGAAGGCAGGGGGCATGGGCAGAGCTGTGAGGTGTGTGTGTGTGTGTGTGTGTGTGTGTGTCTGTCTGTCTATCTGTCGAACATATTTTGGAAGAAAGCACTCCTACATTACAAATGGAAGCGTAAGTGAGCCTTTATTAGGCTTTTTGGCCTGACAGCTGGACATCTTCCTGTCCCAAAGCAGGGCCATTGTATATGGCAAAGATTTGGAACCCAGGCACTTCCCTGACTGGGGCATCATCATTTCTATCAGCAAAGTCTGAGGGACAGGATGTCCACACAGTCATTGTGGTCTGAATTTTTCCACATAAAGTAAAAATAATTTGTGAAATGCAATACAGGGAGAAAACGCAAGATACTTAAATTAAGCTTATAATGCTTTTTTTCCCCTTGTTCTCTTTTATTCTACAGGTAATGAGCTCTTGCTGATATGGCTACTCCCCAAAGTATCCAAAATGACAATGGATACATTGACAATCAACATTTCTGCAATACACTGTGCCAAATCTTGAATAAGTTCTCTCTTTGGTATCTTTTACAGGTTGTTTATATTTTGCATAGGAGTGATTGTTTTTAAAGCATTCAACCTACAAATGGACTTTATGGCTGCCCTACTCCTCTCTCCTTTTCCTCCTTCTAAAACACTGCAGATAGCTACTTCCTTCTCTGCCCCAATTTTTTATGGCTCTGATGGCCTCTCCTGTGTGCCCCTAACCCAGGTGCTAAGTCCTGTCTGTTTCCTTAAAATCTCTCTCTCTCTCTCTCTCTCTCTCTCTCTCTCTCTCTCTCTTTTGTGATGTCATTGGTCACTTCAAAAAGAATGTCCTTATCTCTTTTTTTTTCTGTCTGTGAAAGCTCAGCCCTGCTACTTTCTTTCAGTCTTTCTCTATACCTCTTGAAGTCAGCAGGTGATATGCTAATAAAATCACAAAAGCCCAGGATATCTTGACCAAAAAGACTGAGAAAGTGTTTATGGCCATATGACTCAGCTATACCACTTCTTGGTATTTATCTTGAAGAATTAAAGTCATCACACTGTGGTATGCATACCCATGTTTACAGCAGCACAATTCACAATAGCCAACCTGTGGAACCATGAATGGATAAAGAAAATGTGTTATGTAGACATAATGGAGTTTTATTTAGTCATAAAGAAAAAAAACATTGTGTCATTTTCAGGAAAATGGATGGAACTTGAGAACATTGTGTTAAGCAGAAATAAGCCAAACTCAGAAGGTCAGGGGTCATATATTTCCTCTCATATGTGGGTAGCCAGAGAGGGAAAAGGAAAAGGAGAGGCTGGGGGGTATATTGTGAAGTTTAAAGGGAGATTAGTAGAGGAAAGAGACCAAGGAAAAGGAAGAGGAGAGAGAGAAGGGGAAAGTGTTGGGGAGTGATATTGGTCATATTATATTGTTACATTGTGTGCATGTACAAATATGTAACAACAAATCCCATCATTATGTACAACTAAGTGCAACAATATAAAATGTGGAAATTAAAAAAAAAAAATAATCGTCATTGCTACCTGCAATGACAGTGACACACGTATATAATCTCAGGGCTCCAGAGGCTGAGGTTGGAGGATCACAAGTTCAAGGTCAGCCTGGGCAACTTAATGAGTCTCTTTATTAGAATAAAATACAAAAAGGGATGGGGATATAGCTCAGTGTTAAAGTTCCCTGGGGTTCAATCCTCAGTGCTGCAAAAATAAAATAATAATGATAAAAGCAAAGTAATAATACTTGCCACTGTTTATTTAAGCTCGTTTTGCCAGGTGAGCACTGAGAGCTTTGTGGAAGTAATCTAGCAATTCCTCATAACCTTGGGAGCTGGTCAGTTCTTTTATTTTTCTGCAGAGACCTCTAAACCTGAGATGTAACTTTCTGGAGTTCAGAATTAATGGATTGGGACTTATCGAAAATCTGTGGGTTCATTTTCCTCTGCTTTTGAGAAGCCCAGGGCTCAGGCAACAAGATCCAATTGTACTGAGGGCAAACTCTCCTCTTCAAATGTGCCCTCCTTTATTTAGACACCAATACCCTTGCTGTTCTGGGTTTTTCCTATTCAGCAAAATGAATGAGAAAACGTAGGATCCCTATTCAAGTTTAATATTCTTCTAGAAATGAAAGTAGGATCCCTATGATTGCAACTCTAAACAGATGAGATCCCTATTCAAGTTTAATATTCTTCTAGAAATGAAAGTGTTTGTTTCCCTACTTTTATTTCTCAAGCCAAACGAATTAAAAGATTTATAATTTATTTCCCAAGCCAATTATTATTATTATTAATTATTCTTCTTCCTATTTGGAAGGCCAGAAATAGGTTGAACTTTAATTAAAAGCCTCATGATTTGAGCTGGGGATGTGGCTCAGCGGTGGAGCATTTGTCTAGCAAGTGTGAGGCTCTTTGTTCAACTCCCAGTACTACAAAAAGCAAAACAAAAGTTTCATGATTCAATCTTGGAATGTGGATCAGATAATAATGAAGCAACCTAATGAACACCCTGAGGGGAACCACCCTACTCCATTGGTTGGTTGAGCCAAATCCTCAGCTAATGAAGTCAGTTCCAGAGGTTCCTTCCATCCATCTTGTTCTCAATCAGTGCCTTTCAATATTTGCACAAAATTTGCCCACATCTAAAGAGATGCACACACTCACACACTTTATTTCCACATGCTGTTCCCTCAGCCTGGCTCACCAACCCCTTCTTTGCCTGGGAAGTTCCTTACCCCTCAAGTCTCAGGTCAGTGTCACCATCCCTCATAATGCAAAACATGCTCATTTGTTCACATCTCTCCTCTTCATTTAAATATTAAATCATTGCAGGCAGAGACCTGGTCTCATCACCTTTGGAATAACTCTAGACCTGAGCTCCCATGTTGCGCGTAATATGTACCTAATAAAGGTTTTGCAGTAAACTACTTTTGTATCTATGCATCAAAAGCTAAAAGGTCCTCATGCCCTTTGACCTAGCAATCCCGATGGCAAGGAACTTATTTAATGGAAATAATTGAACAGGAGAAAGAAAATGACACAGATGAAAATGATGTAACACATGTATTTGCTGCATATTGGAAAGGAGTGAAATGTTTATCAACAGAGTAATGGTGAGTTAATGATGGCAGATGATCCTGAAGGAACATGACTCATTCGCTCATTTGTCAAACACATATACAGACAGCCAAGGAGAGACCAGGCGCACAGCAATGAATCAGTACGTCTGCCTCAATGAGCATGCAATCTGCTGGAGTCTTCTAAAAGGACTGTTATAAAACTACACAGATACAGAGCTACCGGGGATCTAATATTGTAGAAAGCAGGTTACATAACTGTGCTTTATGATTGCAACTCTAAACAGATGAGAATGTGAATGAGGTCTGATGGGCAAACACAGGAATGAAAAGACTCGTGTGGTTAGATCACAGATGATGTTTTCTTTAGCATTCTTACTTTAAATTTTTAGACCATCTCAAATGTTTACTGAAAGAAGAAAACTGCTCTCATGGCTTGGCTCTCCAGGTTGGCCATGGCAAGAGTGAAGGAGATTGACTTGGGCAGGGGCTTGAGGCAAAGGGATTAGGAGGCTTGGGTCAGGAGGCTGTCCACCTGCAGATCTAGCTGTTTATTGAGGGCTGCAGAAGAAACCTGTTTCCTCTAGGTTGAGGCTATGTCCTACTTGGGCATGGTGCAACCTCCTCATTGCCAGGTGTGCCAGGGTACACCTGAAGTCTGGGAAACAGGCGAGATGATGGAGGCTTGCAAGAGTTGGTGGCTGTTCCTCATGATAGAGAGAATGCTCCTTATACAAAAGATACCATCAGCCCCCTTCTATAGTTGCAGGAATTGAACTTCAGTTGGCCCCAGGTTACCCAGTTGGCAAATGACAGAGCTGGGATTGGAATTCATGCCTTCGCTTTGGGGCAAGGTTCTTTTTGTTTCTCCCCATGGGCCTGGGAGCAAGTGGAGGGGGACGTGTGAGGTCTTATTGCAGACACCGGGCTGGATATGGCTGACACAGGAGATGACTGCCAGGGTGGATGGGGTCCTTTGGAAAGGTAAGTAGTGGGGAGTCTGTCAGTTGAACTGCATGGTGGAGGGTCTGAGGTCGGGCATTGGAGTTTGGACTTGATGCAGTGGGCAGTGGAGAGCCCTTGTAGGTTGGAGGACATGATCAAAGGAAGTTTAATGAAGAGGTGTGTGCTGGTTGGTGTGACAAGGAGGAGCTAGCTCAGGTACAGGGGAAGTTTTGTGGCTCTTGCTCTGTCTGATCAGAGCAGCAGGGACTCCTCTAACTTGTTGGAAACATCTAACCTCAACCTCTAACCCTGGATCAAGGAAGGCTGTTAATCCTATATATCCCTGTCTTGTGGATGCCACCACCTGGTCCCCACCTGATACAAACTTGGCCAATCAGAAGACCTCTCTGGGATATTTTGACCTTGGGACCAGAGAGGAATGGATCCTATACCCTTTCTGGTGATAAATCTGTGTTACATGAGCTTTGGAGATCTATCACTGCTAAAAGTCTTGAGGGTCAGAGAGAGCAAATTCTAGCTAGATTCAAGTCCTGTTTTCCACTCACCCTGAGGGCTCAGTTGCCCCCTGTCAGTGCCACAATGAGAACAACACTCACAGATTTCTTTTCAACCAAGTTAGTCCGGATTGTAATTTTGCCATTTGTAAGCAAAAAACATCCTGGCATTCAAATTTTGAGCACATTTCTTGAATACACTGTAGGATGGTTTTGTTAGTATTGGGTCCAAAATTTTTTTTTTTTGCATGTATGAAACAATAACAACAACCAAAAAATCTGTTCTCATTACTGAGTGTCCGATTCAGGAACTCTGGGTTCTCTGCAGAGAGAAGGCTTTGTGGATCCCTTCAGAGAAGGAGGGACGCATCCCCATCACTTGTGAAGTGAGTAAAACTGCTGCTCAGAATGCTCCCCTGCCTACTTCTTTGCGATTCGGATGGGGAGAAACTGTCGTGGACCGAACGACCACAGAAGACAGCCAGATACTTCCTGTACAGGTAGCAGAGGTATCTTCTGAACTTCTCCCCAGCGAATGCATAGATGAGGGGATTGAGGCAACAGTGGCTAAACGCCACCGTCTCAGTCACGTTGAGGGCCAACTTCAGATTCCTCTTCATGTTGCAGCTGGGAAAGAAGTCATAGAGTTTGAGAGTCTCTAGGAAAATCATAATGTTGTAGGGTGTCCAGAAGAGGAAAAACACGATGACCACCAGTAAGATGAGCTTGATGGCTTTAGCTTTCTTTTGGTTCTTGCAGGAAAACAGGGTCTGGAGGATTCTGAAGTAGCAGAAGCTCATGATGAGCAGGGGCAGCAGGAAGCCAAGAAAGTTCACTTCCACGTTGCGGAGCACTGGCCAGATTTCCTGGAGGACCTCGGGGTAGTCACCCAGGCACTCATTTTCTTTTTGCTTTGTGAACATGAACTGGGGTGCCGCTACCAGGATGGCCGCCGCCCAGACGCCCAGGCTGATGGTGACGCCGTGTTGCACAGTCCGGTTGTTCATGGAGTTGGCGGCCAGGACAATGGCCAGGTACCTGTCGACGCTGATCACGGTGATAAAAAATATGCCTCCGAAGAAGCCGATGAAGAAGAGGGCGGTGGTGAGTTTGCACACGGCGTTGTGGAAGCCTTGTTCGCTGACCACATAGTGAGTCCAAAAGGGCAGAGTGGCTACGAAGAGCAGATCGCTCAAGGCCAGGTTCAGCAGGTAGATGTCGGTGATGCTCTTGCGCTTCCGGCTGTTGTTGAGGGCCATCACCACCAGCAGATTGCCCACCAGGCCAAAGGCAAAGACAACAGAGTAGAATATGGACAGGAACACGGTCCCAAAGTCCACGATGTCCCCCAAGTAACAGGCTTCAGCAGACTCGTCATACTCAAATTCTTCAGTTGATTCAGGGAAGAAGGTGGGCATGGTGAGGACCTGGACCAGAAGGGAAAACAAAGCGGCAGGGTTAGTCCTCACGGGAACAAATCTGGAATTCTAACTGGTCCATGGTGGAGGCAGGAAGGAAGAAACAAATACCAGTCGCTTCCTGCCTTCACACCCGCCATCTTGTTCATCTCCACCACAATCTGGTGGTGAAAGCTGCCACAGAAACCTTTGGCAAGGGAGGCAGCCAGGCCCCCCGACAAGGTCAAAGAGAGGACTTGCTCAGCAAGCATTTGGATCTAGGTCTTTGGGGGACTTGAGACAGATCTCTTTCATTAATTTTCAAAAGTTTCTCCAAAAGGTGTTGAGTTTGACTAGTGTATAGATAGGGGAAGGAGGATCAAGGACAGAGGTGAAGGGCAGGATAAGGAGAGGTGACAGGGGAAGCTTCTTTCCGCCCAACCTTTCCCCAAACAATTTTTCTATGCTCTTTTTTTATTTCCACCGTCACCAACTTCTGTCCTCTCATTTTTCCTCCATGAAGCTAAGCCTGGAGACAGAGGTCTCAGAGACTCCCCTGTTTGGTTTTGGAGAGCCCTTTCTCCTCCTCTTCCTCTTGGAACCAACAAGTCCTTCTTGTCCTCAGTAGGGAGTAGGCAGAGAATCACCTGTTTTGTGTTGCCCAGGACTGTCAGCACTCCCACCTATGGGAAACCCCTCAAACCCAAGCAAACTGGGACTCATGGCCCATCCTCCAGCCCCAGCTGAAGAGGAGCACTGTCATGATCCAGGGTTCTGCAGTCACAGAAGGATTGACAGGTGCAAGACCAGAGGAGCTCACGGTTGGACCCGAGAGACTCCTTCTCCTAGTTATTACCAGCCCTGGCCTTCCCCCACTAACCTTATCTCCTGGTTTCTTTTGAGCAAAAATTGAAAAAGAAGACATTTCTGCATAGGTTGGGCAATCAAGCTTGCCCTCTCCCCACTCTTTTCCCATTCAGTACTTGCTGGACATTTACTCCAGAGGCAACAGACAGGCCACCCTCTCCCTTTGCTCCTCTGGCACCTCCTCTTCCTTGTGAGACCACAGGCAGGCTCAGAAACCCCGAGTGTCTCCAAGCAGGCCTCCTGGTTGTCAGCACCTCCTTCTTCATCAAAACTGAAAGCAGAGCTCATGGTTCTCTAACCAAGGGAGTTTCCACACCCTACTGCATCCTGGCCATGATGGTTTCACCCAGGCGGTATCTCCCACAGCCCACCCAGCCGAGGTATTGCTTCTCCCTGCCCTGCCTCTGGCATGTCCTGCATCTCACCCAGTCTCTTCTGCCATGAAATAGGCCAAGGCTGCCAGTCCTGGACCTTCTCAGTCTGTGATGGAGTGTTTGACCCTAGGAAAAAATGTGTGAGTTCCCTGCTTCAGGCTGCAAAGCCCTTTTCTTGGAACAGGGGTCTGGCTGTGACCTTAATTTAAGTTAATAAGCATTAATTGCTGACCTGATCCTGTTTTGAGTTCTACAAGGGCAAGCTTCATCTGTCTAAAGCTGATGATGGGGAAACAGGAACTGGTACTCAGTGTGTGAAGATACTGCTGTGTAAGAGAGGAAACAGTCAAGTCCTCGAAGGTTGTAAGGTAGGGACCCTGGGCTAGACAGTCTCTCTCCCCTTCTGCCCAGTGAAAAGAGATGGCAAAGCTGACTTCAAAAGGTTAAAATCAATAAAAATTGTTCTGCATTTCTTTGTGCCTGTGATCTGTCCATCAGCCCCCAAACTTCGGTGGACTTGAGTTCTCTTGAGGTTGAACCCCAGGTCTGCCCTCTCTGGCTAAGTGAAGGGTGAGCTTGGAATCTCTGGGCCTGATGTTCCTCATCTGCAAGGTTGAGATGCAGTCTCACACTGCCCACAGAGCTGTTCTAAAGAGAGAAACTGTTCTAAGTGTGTCGCATTCAGCAGGAACTTAGTAAATGCTACTTCCTTCCTGCATTAGGTGAGGCTGCAGAGGTTCTTTGAGCGTTTGGACTCACCCAGGTTGCCTGTAGACAATCCCACTCTGGGCATCGTGGGAATTTGGTATTTAAAGGTTCTAAAATTTCCCCCTGAAATAATAATTGAAAAATGGCTTCTTTTTAGATTGTTATTTATTTATCTATTTATTTATTTATTTATTAATCGGTAGATGGACACAATATCTTTATTTTACTTTTTAAATATGGTCCTGACGACCGAACCCAGTGCCTCACACATGCAAGTGTTCTACCACTGAGCCACAACCCCAGCCCTTTTAAAAAATTATTTTAAAGGGGGGGAGGTAAGCCAGTTTTTGCTAAGCTTTTACTAAACTGCTAGGCTTATTGCCAGACATTCCATGTGCATTGTTATCCATTGAATCCTCTCTGCAATTCTGAAAGTCCTGTGTTTAGTTCACTGCACTGGATGGCTCCAGGGCTATTTGAAAACTGGGGCAGGACCCTGCGTGGAGAAGGCAGGGACAGTTAAAACTAAGCAACTATTCCGCTAGCTAAGCGGTAAGGGGTCCCAATCCAGCATCCTACCTTGCTGTGTGACTGGGCTGCCACACACACAAGCACACCTTCTCTAATTTGTTCCAAGACTCTAAATAAGCCAGAGGAGGTCCTGATTGGAGGGGCCCAACATCCATGCAAATATATAAATTGCCTGGGCTTCAACATGCCTGGGCTCCTGGAGGGATTAGCTAGGCCCCACCTCAGCCACAAAGGGGCCTCTTGTCTCAATGGGAAATTCACACAAAGTCTTGAGATAAAGACAGAATTGGGAAGTGGGTCAATACATCCCTGCAGATGGGACACAGTTTCAGGAGATGCTGTGGAAGGGATGACCTTGCCCGACTGGTGAACATTTTACTTACTGAGATCCAAATGGCAGATCTGGCTCAGGACAATCCCTGCCATCCTGAGGGTCTGCCCAGCAAGGCCACAGAAACCCTCAGCCACCTTTATCCTGGCTCCTTGATGGATCAGATTCAGGCCCAGCTCCTACAGGAGTTCCTCTGAGCACCGGCACAGTGCTATGCATATAGTAGATGCATGCTAGGCGTCCTGTGATCCCTGCTGGGAGCCATGCTAGGAGGGAGGAGCAGGAGGTGTGTTTCTTTTGACAGCCCCTATGTGATTCCAAGGGACTGGAGACCTTAGTGCTCTTCACGTTCATGAGGGACACACCAAGGTCAAGGCCCCGGCTCATTGCACAACTAGAAGTGGGGGAGTGGGACTGAAGCCCAGGCCACACTCTTCCCGTCCCTTAATGCCCCCCCACCCAACACACACACTCAAGATGAAGGATGGCCAGGGAAAAAAGATGGGGACACAGTGACTATCAAACAAAGTGGAGTCCTTGGAGGTAAAAAGTCAGCAGGGCCACTGTCTCAGCTTCTTCCCCTCTAAAGAGCAACGCTGGGATTTGTGGAGAGCCAAAGAATGCAATGACACCCAATTGCTTGTTGGGGTTTATCCAGAGATATGCTCATACACAAGCTCAAGGAAGTGTGCACTCAGACCCTCACCACAGTGAGCCTTAAATAGACATGAAGAGGAACCACTTCAGTACCCATTGGTAGGGACAGACCACACAAAACCACGATAAATCCAAAGAACAGAACATGAAGCAATTGCTTTAAAAAAAAAAAAAAAAAAAAAAAAAAGCAAAGCCAGGCAGATCTGTGTTCTGTCATGGAACCATCTCTAAGAGACACTGGTAAATGAGGTACCAGGCACACACTGTGCTTCTCTCTGTGGAAATAATGTTGTGGGTATGTCTTGTGTGAGATCTGAATACCTCTGGAGGGTAGACTAGTGGTGGTAACCGTAGTTCATGCTGGAGGGCATGTATGGAGACTAGAAGACGATGGAGGGTGGTGGGGGGATTTTAATTTTTACTGTAAACTTTTGGAATTTTTTTTTTTTTTTGGTACTGGGGATTAAACCCAGGGCCTTGCACACGCTAGGCAAGCACTTTACTTCTAAGCTAACATCCCCAGCCCCCAAATCTCAGGATTACTTTACCATGTACACACATTACCTATTTTGGAAGTGATTTTAAATGTTTCTTTTGGAATTTTCAAGATAAAAACAAACAAAAATATGAAGTATAGGAAAAATTAAAGTAAGTAACCTGGTACAAATACCAGGCACATTGTATGTTTAATAAATGGAATTCGACATATAAAAGGATTATCTATACTTTATGGGCAAGTAGGTGTACTCAGAGAGGGTGAATAACTTGCTTAAGGCCATGCAGCTTGTTCATGGCAGGCTTACAGTTTGGGCCCAAATGTGTGTGCCTTCAGCATTTATTTATTTTTTTAACTTTGCATTATACCCTTCCCCATATCCTTCCCTCAAGACTGGGAGATCCCAAAAGAAGAATCACATTTTTTTTTCTTTTTTTTTCAGCTCTGTAGATCAGAATTTAGTAAAGAGAGGCCTGATTTAGAACAAATGCTGTATAAATGTTTATGGAAGGATATATAGTTTATCATAGACCTTCATTCCTAACGACCTTGGTGAAGCTGCCCCCTCCCCCACTGTTTTGACAAGGTCACAGTGAGGATAAGTGCTGGCAGAGCCGCACAGATGGGCTTTGAAACTCATGAAACCATGAGACCCTTTTTGATGTCATTGGAACTTTTTATTTTCATGCTCCTATTCCTGACAGGAAGCACGAGTATGCTTATTGCTAAACCCAATTAAATTTCAGATGGCTAGAACATAACAGGTAGTCCATGCCTTGAAGGCTGTTCTACTACTTCTCAGCATATCGAGGACAAACTAGAAGGCTGTTCTACTATCTCAGTACATGGAGGACAAAACTGATAATAAAAATATAAGATATAAGAACTATGTACCTTGACTAAGAAACAAAGAAACTTTTTGAGAAAGCAGCTCAACCCATTATATGAGAATAAATGTAGGAATTAATTAAAGTAGCTTTACAAGACACAGTTTTAGAATAATGTTAGAAATATTATTTTACTTAGATTCTTAAGTTTAGAATTCTTAAGTTTTTAGCTGTATGGG